TTACTTAATTCCTTATTAGATCACTTTAATTTTGTGCTTAACTTTAAGATAGCATTTATATACAGTTAATTACATATGTCGGCCCATCACGGCAAATTAAATAATTTTCCAGCAAGAGAATGTTGATGGGAGGTTAGTTGGGATGGCGGGAGTAGTGAATGGCGAATCTGGTTGAAAAGGGGGTAGCGAAAAGTGGTGGGGATTGGTAGGGCACAATTCGGTAGTGGTGCGAAGGAGGAGAGCGGTGTCGCATGAAGGGGTGGCGGTACCATGAGTAGTTGGTAGAGAGAGTGAGAAAAGAGAGAAGATGGTGGAAATGGTTTTATGGTTTGGGAACAAATTAAATTGGGATTACGAGGTGGGTGGGCCGGATTAGTTTAATTTTATATTATTATTAATATTTAAAATTTTATTTATATTTGATTTTTGAAAGAAAAATTTGTAATTCTTAATTATGAATTAACATCTTGAAAATACTTCGTCCTTGTAATTTTCACTAAAAAAATAGTAATAGTAAATAATGTTAAATTAATTTCGAAGTTTCAACTATACGACGTATTTAATTAATTTAAAAAAATTAAATGAAATTCTAAATTAATTATCTATATATAAAGTGCACGAAAATTTTTTGTTGACAATCTCAGTGTTGAATTGGCAATATCGTCCTCAAAATATCAATGCTTCAGCGTTCTAGTCCAACATCATACTATTATAATTTCCTCTTTTAAGAAAGAATGGCACAGGTTGCTCGTTAATTTCTATAGTTTTTTTTATTTCTTTTCTTCTTTCGAGTTTCTCCCTCAGTCTCGAATAAGGTTCGAACCTAAGTCAATGACTTGATAAATTTTTATTATTACCACTTGAGTTGGATTTTGATCTCAATTTCTAAATTTTGTTTGTTACTATATTTCACAATAGAAAGAAAACAAATATAGGCAATTTTGCGTGAGTCGAGGTTTCTAGAACCCAGGCACAATTCTCTTGGCAAAGGTAGGCCTCGTATCTATGTCAAACAAGGGTAAGCCCATGTTTGAGCCACATTAAAATTTTTATTCTCATTCTGTTAGATATTTTTAACATATATGGGGCCACACGTTGTATATTGAAATGTGTGGTGCTATTATTTAAAAGATATTAGTCAATTAAAGTGATCCGTTAAAGATGTTTTGTGACTAATGTGTATTATATTTCATGGAATTATAGTGTAAAGACCGAAGTGTTGTTTTAAATTG